TAAATTAGTTTACAGTAATTTATGGACAGTGTGATAGTACTATTATACATGACCATTATCGATTTGCTGCAAAAACTCATTTAGACAAAAGTTTTGTTCATATATTTAATTTATTAAACTATTTCAGTAACAACGGTTTAAATCTATTCACTTTTCAAAAAGGCACAAAGCTTACCATATATTTCCCAAAATCTTTTTGTAGACCTTTGAAGCACCTTTTAACATCGAGTACTTGATGACATGGATGAAATTGTATACTTTTTACTTTGTGCTTAAAAATAAGCATGGGCGTGCATATGGGTTATAAAAAAAATATGTGCGCCACTGACTTTTTTTCTTTTGTTGTTTCTTGATATTTTGTCGATTTCGGTCACCTTCCACCTATATCTTTTAAATTCCAACATTTCATTTAATTGAAATTTTCCACTAAAAAAGTTTTTGCAGTAAACCAAGAATATAATAAACTCGCCGTCATAAAATTCCGCCACCCTAAAATTTTGACTAAGTTTGATGTTTTATAACTTTTAAATTTGTAATCCGATTTTTATGATTATGGTATTTGTAGATAAATCTGTTGGTATTATTTTTTATTATTTTAATGGCTTATACAGGGTTGTTCACCACATACGACACGGAATATTGTAGCTAAACGATTAGATTTTTACAAATTGTAAGTTTTGGGTTCGTTGAAGGACTATTAGAGCTACAATTTAAAAATATTTTTACAAGTTAGAGAGTGTCCCAAATAAATAAAAAGTATCAAAGTTTTATTTTTTTAAATGGAACACCCTGTATATTATTTCATTTTTAGTTTCTACGATTAAAATAAAGGCAAATTTGATTAAGGTTTATTACACTTAAACCTTACCGTTTTTGAAATATTTTCAATTTTGTGAAATTGCAGTATAAATTTTAAGGCTTCATTTCTCCAAAAGTATCAAAGTTTTTAATACTAAATATTTACTGAAATTTATTTATTGATCAGTTATTGTGTTGCAATAATAAAAGTTTTACTACCTTATACAGAGTGTCTAAATATTTATTTTAAATAATTATTAGCTTTAAACGGCAATAACTTTTTAAATTTAAATAGAACACCCTGTATATTTTATGAGAATCAGGTGCACAATTTAATTGTCTATCAAATTGTATTATACCATTTTTTAGCTATCTCTTCAAGTTTCCGTAGAAAATGAATTTTATTGTAATTTAGAACTCATTTATCAATATACTCATGGAATACTGACATTTTAGATTATTTTTAAAGATGTACTAAATTTTAAAAGAGTACATATACTAATATTGTTGATATAGTTTGTTTATTTCATTAAAAAATAAAAAACAACTGTTTAAATATTTGTTAAAGAGGATCAATTAATATGATTCCATTATTCAAACTACATTAATTGACTGTTTGCGTTGATTAATAATAATTGCTCCAAATACTAAAAAACTGAATTATGTATGTGTATTAGACAGTGTGGTAAAAAAACTAACACCTTAAAAATGATATTTCATTTTTTGACAAATGCTTATTTATAACAACAGAGACGTTCATTTCATAACTTATTATTATATTGATTTCTGATTCAAATCCACATTTATTTAGAATAATTTATTAACAAACCCAATTAAGTTTGTAATTAATTAGTATTTGGGCGGAATACTGGTGGTATATTTAATTAATGGTATACTCTTTTATAAAGATCTAAATAGTTTTCTTTTTGCATACAAATGGGCTAGTAATATCATCGTTTTACTAAAAACGATAATATTACTAACCTGAATTTCCTTTATTGCATTTGTTGTTTTAAAAACAATCTAAAATGTCAATATTCCATGGGTATATTGATAAATGAGGTCTAAATTATAAGAAAATGCATTTTGTACGAAAACTTGAAGGGATAGGTAAAAGTCGTATAATACAATTTGATAGACAATTAAATTGTGCATCTGATTCTTATAAAATATACATGGTATTCCATTTAAATTAAACAAGTTATTGGCGTTTAAAGCTAGTAATTATTAAAAAAATAAATTTTTAGATACTCTGTATAAGGTAGTATAATTTTTATTATTGCAACACAATAACTGATCAATAAATAAACTTCACTAAATATTTAGTATTAAAAACTTTGATACCCTTGGAGAAATGAAGCCGTAAAATTTATACTGCAATTTTACAAAGTTCAAAATATTTCAAAAACGGTAAGGTTTAAGTGTAATAAGTCTTAATCAAATTTAACTTTATTTTAATCGTAGAAACTAAAAATGCAATAATATACAGGGTGTTCCATTTAAAAAAATACAACTTTGATATTTATTATTTATTTGGGACACTCTGTATCTAGTAAATATTTTTTAAATAATAGCTCTAATAGTCCATTTAACTTGGGAACTCCAAAATGTTTTAATTTGTAAAAACTAATCGTATTTCGTACAATACTCCGTGTCGTATGTGGTGAACAACCCTGTATATTTCGGTTAGGTGGGTTTATATCGCGGTAAATCAAAACTTCGTTTTTTGCAAATAAATTCAAAAACACCCTGTGGAAAAAATGAAACGGGCATTTTGGATAAAAACACTTTGCTGTAATCTTAGATGTATTCCTAACATTTCAATTTTTGAATTATCCTATTATCTCTATCCTTTTATGAGCTACACAGTTTTAAATAAAGCACTGATATTTTTACAATCTTGAATTTGTTGAAAATGGATGGCTCTCAATGGCCACCGTTATATCGAGGATGTCCTCCAAGAAGTTGTCGTTCCATATGCTTCTTTCATTGGAAATCAGTTTATAGTGATGCATGATAATGCCAGGCCCCACGTTGCGCGGAGTAACGAGTAAGGAGTATGAGTAATTACCGAGTACCTGGATGAGGTTGGACTAGGAAGATTGGAATGGCCTCCTTGTAGTCCCGACCTCAATCCAATCGAACATTTGTGTGATGAACCTAAAAGCGTGTAGCGTTCGGCGTGTCTCGCAAAAAAACGGAAATAAAAAGAAATCAGTTTGTTTTCTGTAGCGTCTTTAGCGTTTTCTAAGATGAAACCCCGTCATAGGCGGACGTTATATTTAATAATACAATAAAAATAAATTAAATAGTATGCATTTTTTTTATTTTAGGGTATTATCTAAAAATATTTTTATTAAATTTAAAAATTTCAAGGAACTGTTTGAAAAAGTGTAGTTTCAAATGTTGAAAAAGTAATAAATTAAAGGAATATTTTCTTACGCGTAAAAAATAGTTTTTTACGCGTAACAAAAAGTTATTTACACGGAAAAAATATTTTTTTTTGCGTAACAAAAGGTTTTTTATCAGAAACAATAAGTTTTTGACGCGTAAAAAAATAATTTTTTACGTGTAACAAATAGTTTTTTACACGCAAAAAATATTTTTTTTGTAAAAAATTTTTTTACCAGAAACAATAAGTTTTTGACGCGTAAAAATTAATTTTTTACGTGTAACAAATAGTTTTTTACACGTAAAAAATATATTTTTTGCGTAAGAAAGGTTTTATAAAGTAGTAGTAAAAAAAGAATTTTTTATGTGTAACAAATAGATTTTTACACGTAACAAATAGTCTTATACGCGTAAAAAATAGTTTTCTACCAGTAACAAATAGTTATATACGCGTAAAAAATAGTTTTCTGCCAGTAACAAATAGTTTTATACGCGTAAAAAATAGTTTTTTACGTGTAACAAATGTTTTTTTACGCGTAATAATTTGATTCGCTTTTACAAAATTTTACAAACACGTGGACTGCTCACAAATACACGTCGCGTCACTACGTATTTCTAAGCCGTTAACACGTTTCGTTACAACGAGGTCGTGTGTCAGGGCCGTCTCACTAGGTCGTATGTCACGGCTTTGAATTTTTACTCCCAGCGCGCTTAAAGAAGTTTCACTCCAAAATGTTTCATAAATCATGTCCTAAAATTGCATTAGCAACTAGAGATATTTACTGTTCTATTATATAATTATAATTATTTATTATATTATAATTATAACAAGTACCGTATGATCGAATAAAAACGGCGTCAGCGATGGCTATGAAATGAAGATCGCTGTCATTTTGTATGTAAAATTAAATGGGAAATGTCATTGATGTTCATTTCCAAGCCAACTGGACTCCGTTTTTTTTCGATCATACGGTACTAACCACAACACTACAACATAAAAAAACTATACACATATAAACTAAAATTCCTAAAATAAATGGCAAATAATAATTATTATTTTTACATACACCACTGGCACTAGCAGTAGATTGTGTTTGTCTCCGAATATAAGCCCCGGCCCGTCCACAATTCAATCCCAGCATCTTTTATCTTCGTCTCTTCAACGCTAACGGCGCCGATCTCGCCTATCTCTTTCTCACAGGATTGATTGTTGGACGGGCCGGGAATCCACGAGCTTGCGACGTTACTAATTGACATTATTGATAGAAACTGCAGACCTGCCGCGTCTTTTGCGTGTTTTTAATGGGCACAAATCGAAAAAAGCGCTTAAAACGGTAAAATCGCAAAAAGCGCTTGAGACGTAAAAAACGCAAAACGCTAAAAACGCTTTCTGTGTGGCCGTGGGCTTAGCTCTTGTAAAGGGTTTTCTTGATCTATAGTTTTGATATTCATAAAATTGAGGAAAGTGTTTTTTGTTATCCGAAATGACCGTCTCATTTTTTCCACAGGATGTTTTGAATTTATTGCAAATATTTTTAAGGTGGCGGAATTTTGTGTCGGGGGTATATAAATAGTTGTCTTTTTGACATCTTTAAAACCTATTTTTTCTCTGTTTCTATTTCTCCAACTCTCTGAACCGCCAATCCGCTTTACATCTGGCTCTACCTCTCGTCTCATAAGCGGCCCTCGTCTCCGGCACTGTTGCCGAAGCTCTCCAGCTGCTGTCACCCGATGACCACGCTCATGGCCAGCTTGATGACGTTGTTTTCGTCCACGTCAAAGGCAGTGTTGACACGTTTCTTCGCGCTGCGTCACCTGGAGTCGGACGGGTCCCCGCCGGGGTCGCTCTCTTCGCCCAGGGAGTTGCCGTGCACTTGGACGTTGTAACTGGGTGATCTGAATTGACGGCCCTGGAAGAAATAATATGGAAATTATGTTAAATTGTTGCCTAAGTAGCCCTACTAGATTTAGTAGGAATCCTACTAAATCTAGTAGGGTTTTGGCGGCTTTAACTGAAACATTTCTTTTGTTTTAACAAAAACGAGAAAAAAAAAGAAATTAAATTCGTCACAATTTCTAAAACTAGATATTTACATTAGTTATCATTTTCTGTCAGTTAAAACAAAAAACATTCTCAGAAATTTGCCGAAAACGCAAACTTATCCTACATCAGAGGGAACTGATATGATTCTATTATTTGGTGCATTCACCAATTAATAGAATACTTAAAAGCTCCTGATTTTATCTAGTCTGTTTTTTTTATGGGGATATGTTAAAGACAGTGCTTACAAAATTCAAACAACTATTGTCGATAACATGAGAGAAATTATTGTAGCTGCTTTTCGAGGTAGAACTCTACATATGCCTTTTAAAATGAAAAGATCCTTTTGAAAAGACAATCATTTTATGCAGTTAACAGGAAAGGAAGCATTACGAGCATTTGATTTCATCTAGCTAATTTTTGTCATATAATTTTAGGTATATATCTAGTTTTAATTCTGTAATAATTAAAATATGTTTTAAACGTGTATCTTTTTATTACCATTGAGTATTTTACTCTACAATCTTTAATTTTTGTTAAATTAGCAAAAGGTATATCACACAGCCACTCCTAGATTTTTTCAGATAATAAAGATCTACTGACGCAAAATCATAAAAATTAAAATATCTAGAAAAATCTTTGTCTGAGGGTTAGGCAACCTTAATAATATTTCGAAGACATATAAATTCCCCATTGAACACCGGAAAAATATACTGCGTGTTCCATTTAAAATAAAGGAATAATTAGCTTTTAAAAGTGGCTAATGTTAAATATTAATTTTGTATTACCCTGTATAACTTTTCGGGTCAAATTTCAATTTGGTTTAACATACAATGGTTACTGTAATTAAATATCAGGCTATACAAGGTCAACTAAAATTTAGGTAGCTGTTATCAAAATTTAAAATTTACTCTTCACTTTCACAAAATGTGAAATATGTCAAAATCCTTAGATTTTAGGTATATGCTTCTTTAATAAAACTCACCTTAATTTTTTTCCTAGAATCCGAAAATCAAATAATATATAGGGTGTTCCATTAGAAAAAACACAACTTTGATGTGTAACTTTTTTTGGGGACACCCTGTATAATTTTATATCTTTTTATAAAATGCTTTCAGTTAACCTACATATGTTGCCAAAATTTCATTTCGATATAAACTGCCGTTCTCCTTGGAGGTTCCGCGGTGTATGAGAGGCGCCACCCTGTACACAATTTTTTGGACTCCCTCTATACTTACTTGTAGTTGAGATCCATCCGATCCTCTCCGAGAATTCATCGAGCCTTTCCCCGTGCAGAAACACTTGCAGATGATTCTCTTGAAGGCGAACCTGAAGTCCTTGGAGAAGAGAGCGTAGATCAGGGGGTTGATGGCGCTGTTACAGTACCCCAACCAGAACAGGATGGAGAAGACTAGGGGGTGGATGCAGTCGGCGCAGAAGGCGCGTACCAGGTACATAGTGAAGAAGGGCAGCCAGCAGCAAATGAAGCCTCCGACGATGATGCCTAGGGTTTTGGCGGCTTTGGTTTCCATACGGAAACGCTTAACCTGCAACAAAAAATACTAAGATAGCAGTATATAGTGATGGGCATTGCGATTCTTTTTAGTGGATCGAATCACACGATTTAATTTCTCATATTGAATCGACTCTTACGATTCGTTAACTGTAACGAACCACATGCACAATTTACGTTTCATAAAATCAAGAATCCTAACTGGCACTACCGGCGATAATTTGGTCGGACAATTACTTAAGGGGCCAGAACAAGAAATATACAGTTCTTTCGTTTACTTTTCAGCACTTTAAGTCACTGGCATAATTGGATTAATTTTACCAATAATATTAAATTATCAATCCAATTCATAGCTATACCTATACTATTTTTTATTAAAGACTTCTTAATACCAATTTAATATTTTTAGTATATTTTATTTCCGATTTAATAATCATATAATAAATAGTTTATAATACCGTATGATCGAAAAAAATAGCGTCCAGTTGGCTTGGAAAAACATCGATGACAATGACAAATGAATGTTCATTTCATAACCCTCGCTGACGACGTTTTTTTTATTATATTGAGCAGAGGCCAACAATATTTATTTGGAGATGCAGAAAAACACGATTTCGACTTTCAGTCCAACATTTAATAGTTTATAGTTGGTAAATATTATTTTAATAAAAATACTAGCGTGTACCAGCGACTTCGTTCGCATCGAATTAATCATTTGTAATGGTGATGATAAAGCAAAGCAAGAATTTCCATTAACATACAAACTGGATAAAATTTTCTCACGTTTATGTCAGCATGAGAAAAAACAATATGGCGATATTATTATATAACTTGGTAAGTAGTAGTAAGTATGTGGTAGTTTCATCTCAAAAATAAGCTTTTTACGTCATGCAGTTTAAGCAGAATCGTGGTTAAGAAATTACCCAACTTTTTGGTACACCCTGTATGATTTTTTAAAAAAATTCAAAATATTTAAAAAACCAAATAAATTATGCTTGTCCAAGCGTTTTCCCGAAAGACAACCGTTTTTTAAATAATAAATATTGTAATATTTGAGGGGCGTTTTCACCCTCTTGGAATTCCAGATTCGAGAAACCCCTCCTTATCGAACCTCTACACCCCACAGTCAATCCGTTTACCAAAAATCACCTTTAAATGTCAAGCAGTTTAAGCAGAATCGTGATTACTCAATGGTCATATTTTATGAAACACCCTGTATAAATTTATAAAAAATCTTAAAATATGTAAAACAACAAAATAAAATATACGTGTTTAAGAGTTTTTCCGAAAAACTCACCGGTTTTTAAATAAAAAATATTTTAATATTTGAGGGATAGTTTCACCCCCTTAGCATTCGAGTTTCGAAAAATCCCTTCTTATCGAACCTCTACACCCTAAAGTCAATCTGTTTTCCAAAAATCAGATTTTTACGTCGAGCGCTTTAAGCAGGATCGTGATTAATCAATGACCAGATTTTTCGAAACACCCTGTATACATTTTTAAAAAATCTTAAAATATGTAAAAAACAAAATAAAATATACGAGTTTAAGCGTTTTTTCGGAAACTTTACAGTTTTTTAAATAAAAAATAATGTAATATTTGAGGGGTGGTTTCACCCTCTTAGAACTGTAATTTCGAAAAATCCCTTCTCATCGAATCTCTACACCCTAGAATCAACCTATATACCAAAATTGAGCTTCTTACGTTGAGTGGTTTGAGCAGGATCGTGATTAATCAGTATGTCAGTCACTTAAGGATTTTATACAGGGTTGTTCACCACATACGACACGAAGTATTATAGCTAAACGACTATATTTTTACAAATTGTAAGTTTTGGGTTCGTTGAAGGACTATTAGAGCTACAATTTAAAAATATTTTTACAAAATACAGAGTGTCCCAAATAAATAAAAAATATCAAAGTTGTATTTTTTTAAATGGAACACCCTATATATTATTACATTTTTAGTTTCTACGCTTAAAATAAAGGTAAATTTGATTAAGGTTTATTACACTTAAACCTTACCGTTTTTGAATATTTTCAATTTTGTGAAATTGCAGTATAAATTTTTAAGGCTTCATTTCTCCGGGGTATCAAAGTTTTTATTACTAAATATTTACTGAAGTTTATTTATTGATCATTTATTGTGTTGCAATAATAAAAACTTACTACCTTATACAGAGTGTCTAAAAATTAATTTTAAATAATTACTAGCTTTAAACGGCAATAATTTGTTTAATTTAAATGGAACACCCCGTATATATTTTATAGGAATCAGATGCACAATTTAATTGTCTATCAAATTGTATTATACGATTTTTTACCTATCTCTTCAAGTTTCCGTAGAAAATGCATTTTCTTGTAATTTAGAACCCATTTATCAATATACCCATGGAATACTGACATTTTAGATTATTTTTAAAGATGTACCAAATTTTTAAAGAGTACAGATACTAATCTTGTCGATATAGTTCGTTTATTTCATTAAAAAAAAACTGTTTAAATATTTGTTAAAAAGGACCAATTAATATGATTCCAGTATTCAAACTACATTAATTGACTGTTTGCGTTGATTAATAATAATTGCTCCAAATACTATATTATGTTTGTGTATTAGACAGTGTGGTAAAAAGTAACACCTTAAAAATGATATTTAATTTTTCGACAAATGCCCATTTATAACAACAGTTCATTTTCATAACTTATTATTATATTGATTTCTGATTCAAATCCACATTTATTTAGAATAATTTATTAACGAACACAATTAAGTATGTAGTTAATTAGTATTTGGGCGGAAATACTGGGGGTATAATATTTAATTAATGGTATACTCTTTTATAAAGATTTAAATAGTTTTCTTTTTGCATACAAATGGGCTAGTAATATTATCGTTTTACTAAAAACGATAATATTACTAGCCTGTACGTTTTGTACATTTGTTGTTTTAAAAACAATCTAAAATGTCAATATTCCATAGGTATATTGATAAATGAGGTCTAAATTATAAGAAAATGCATTTTCTACGAAAACTTGAAGAAATAGGTAAGAAGTGGTATAATACAATTTGATAGACAATTAAATTGTGCATCTGATTCTCATAAAATATACAGGGTGTTCTATTTAATGTAAATAAGTTATTGCCGTTTAAAGCTAGTAATTATTTAAAATAAAATTTTAGACACTCTGTATAAGGTAGTATAATTTTTATTATTGCAACACAATAACTGATCGATAAATAAACTTCAGTAAATATTTAGTATTAAAAACTTTGATATCCTAGGAGAAATGAAGCCTTAAAATTTATACTGCAATTTCGCAAAATTGAAAATATTTCAAAAACGGTAAGGTTTAAGTGTAATAAACCTTATCAAATTTACCCTTATTTTAATTGTAGAAACTAAAAATGCAATAATATACAGGGTGTTCCATTTAAAAAAATACAACTTTGATATTTTTTATTTATTTGGGACACTCTGTATCTTGTAAAAATATTTTTAAATTGTAGCTCTAATAGTCCTTCAACAAACCCAAAACTTACAATTTGTAAAAATCTAGTCGTTTAGCTACAATACTCCGTGTCGTATGTGGTGAACAACCCTGAATATTAGTATAGATTAACGGTAAAAATTAAATGCATTACAGATACTCCCGTAGCACAGTATAAGTAAGTTTTTTTTATTGTAAATAACTTCCTTATCGTTTGCATTTTATGCATATGATGTTTGTTTAGGCTTTTGTTCAAGTCTAAATATTGGTGCTCGATCTTCTCTATGCCTATATCACCGCCGCGCCGCGCCGTCGGCATTGCCGTACAAACGAATGATCGCATTGTGATCCGATTCAATTCTTACGACTCTTTTTTACAACTCGTTCGTTTAAATTTTATGGATCCGTGCTGGCCACGATTCAATTGAACGAATCGTATTCTAAGCTTCATTCTATCGAATCTCACGATTCGTTGTGAATACTCGTTCAAATGAACGACTCGTTCAAATGAACGACTCGTTCAATCTTTGTCCACCTTTAGTGGGTAGGCTACGTGAGCGACGGTGCACACGGTCCCACCCTGCAAAGTTGGATATGACGCGACGTTTCGTTTACATCTTCATCAGGGTGGGACTAAGGAATTGATATTGAAGAAAAATGTGGGTCGATTTCGGCATAATTGGGGACAGGCTACAGGATGACGCCCTCGACGTTTCGAACCGATGCCTCTAACCTTAAATGGACGAAATCATCAGGATTTTTCTTAATTATGGGCCGATTGGAACCAAACTCGGCACGTGGATAGAGGTATCCGAATGGTGTTCTCAGACGTAAATACGGACAGATATTTTCCAAAAGGACGATTCTGAATATTCAGTATTATTGTTACACAATATCAATAAAGTTGAAAGTAACATATTATTCGCAGAGATACAGTTAAATAAACAAATTTTATATTTTATAAAATTATAAATTATTTCGTTTCCCAGTAAACAATCCCAGCTTTTATGCTCTAAATTAAAACTAGTTTTATTAAATTGTTATTTGAACAGCTTGAAAATAAATATAAGTCTGCCGCGTCAAAAATGGCTGCTACCGAAAAATTTATTGCCGGAAATATCGCAGCCGGCTGTGCCCGGATTTTTGAGAAAAGTAAATCTAAATTTACTTTATTTGTTGTAGTTTTGCTCTGTATACGATTTTGCTATCGTACGAGTATTTCGAGTGTTTGGAGAGAATTCTGGGAAAATATAGTTTAGTATTAATAATTTATTTTGGAGGATAAAATATACAGTGTCACAAATAAAGTTCACGTCATACTGTTATTTTTACTTGTTTTCTAGTTTTTGTTTTAGGTTAGGTTAGGTTGCTGGGGTTTGGGATCCTGTTTGGTCCTTCACTCGGAGGCATTGGACCTATTACTGCTATTACCATACCCCCGTATTACTGTATGTCAAACCTTCCTCTCATTCTTTTTTTGAGTTAAAACGCTTCCAGCTCTTGGCCAAGTTCCCGATGTCGCTGGTGTTAGTTACCTGCAGGTTCCTCTAGTCTCTCCAAAAAAACATGCACTGAAGTTTTAAAGAAAAACGCAGAGGTTGTCCTATTATACAAAAAAAGGAGATTATACAAATATAGAGAATTATAGACCAATAAGCCTTCTCTTGCACCTAGACAAGCTCTTCACTAGGATTATCAACAACCGAGTTTCTACGAAACTAGATTCCTATCAGCCATTAGAACAGGCAGGCTTTCGAAAAGGTTTTAGTACCATCGATCATCTACAAATAATTAAACAGTCATTGAAAAAACAACAGAATATAATATACCGCTACATTTGGCCTTTGTAGACTACCAAAAAGC